ACTAATAATTTCTTCGAAGACCCAAATTTGTTATATGGGACTGTAAGAGGATATCTGACAATTCAATAAACTAATTGAATGTCATTAGATAAGAGAACACGAAAGAAAAACAGAAAAAGTCTGTGCATTACCATGTTTTTATAAGGTATAGAATGAATATAAACAAGGGAATGTACGGACTATTTCTATTTTTCTCGTGTTCTCTTATCTAATGACATTCAATTACTTTATTGAATTGTCAGATATCCTCTTACAGTCCCATATAACATCTTTTGGTCTTCGAAGAAATTATTAGTGAGCAGAAATTTGGCCGTGTATCTATTATCACTCGTCGCTTCAATCAGTTATATAGAGCGGTTACTCGTGTTTTCCTTTGGCTACGTCACTGCTGATGGGGGAAAGGTGTATTACTCAGCTATCGTAGCAATGATCTCTGCGTTAAAAGTATATTTGGAACGTGTTTAACCAGCTCTATCACATATGTGATAATGACTGGCACCAATATTGTCCTTTAAGGCGAGTTTTTGGTGTGATTTGCACAGAACTGTGGGTAATCCACTAGAAACATCAACGCTGATTGGTTAATCTAATGTCTGACGTGATAGGATAAAAAGTCGCTTGTATGACCTCTGATACGACCTTCCACTACAGTCGGTCAAATCTTCGTTTGGTGTAGGCCATCGAAAGTATAGAAAAACGAAATATATTTATAGATCTGTGTTATAATCAGAACAGAAGGCATATTGAGGGAAAAAGGTACATTGTGGAATGATAATTATACATGTACATCCCCGGATAAATACATACACCATTGTCATTACTTTTCTTCCCTGATATTTATCTCTTTATCACTTTGTACAGTAAATATTGACTTCCTTGAAGTGTGTAAATCATTTGTATCTTTTTTTACCCCTCAATATGCCTTCTGTTCAATCTGATTAAAATACAGACCTACAGTGTATATTTTGTTTCTTTTTTTTTTAATACTTTTCTTGGTCAACACAGGGATCGACCACAGGACATCCAGGTTATAAGCCAACATCTTAATCAATGAGCAACCTTGGCTCCTTAATAATTAAAGAACGGATACAGCAGGTTAATGTACATGTAATGCTGATAATATCTGTTACAGGCTTGTAAAGTGTCTTCTTTACAGGCTTGTATCGTACTTGTAGCATAGACCTGTCTTCATTAGCCCAGCGGTTGTACGTGACAAGGAGTAGGGTCGCCTGTCCAACCTCGTGGGTTTTCTCCTGGTCCTCTACGCGCATGCAAATTATGAAAATAAAATTAAACATATGTTACTCCCGAAATTACCTAGTTTGTGTAGAGTGGACGTTAAACCCCATCTCTCTCTCTCTCTCTCTCTCTCTCTCTCTCATTAATTAGCCCAGTTGGAGGGGGTGGATGGCCGAATGGTTAACATGTGCACGCTGTATCATAAGGCCTGTCATTGAGGCGACTGGCATGGTTTCGATTCCCCAGTTGTACGTGACAAGGAGTAGGGTTGCCTGTCCAACCCTGTGTGTTTTCTCCGGGTCCTCTGATTTCCTCCCACTGCTAAAGACCCGAACGGGCACGCAAATTATTGAAATATAATTAAACCATATATTAGTCCCGAATTGACCTAGTCTGTGTTGAGTGGACGTTAAACCCCATCTCTCTCCCTCTCTCTCTCTGAGCAGAACAGTAGGACGTTAAACCCCATTTCATTTCATTGTAGCATAGGTTGACCACAGCTGCTTTAGCGAGTCACTGACGAAGTCTGTTCTTTGTTTTCCCCCAAAAAATTGAAATAAAATCAATGTACATGTATAGAACAAGTTTTTTAAAAAATTTAAAATTGTATCTGTACATGACCTGTTAGAAGATTGACAAATAGTCGAGGTTTCAATAGTGAGAATGCAGTAGGCATGATTAAAGATTGGTTTTATGCAGGTATGTTGCAATCTTTATAGCTTGTGAGGTATAGATTGATATTTTTATAGAAAAAAAATAAAATTTAATGAGCGCCATTTCAACTAGACTTCTTGATAAAGACTAGAGAAGCCAAGTCGAACCTTGCTCATTAAAGTTACAATTTCATATTTTCTAAGAAAGTCAAAACATAATTATTTCTATGTCTTTTGCTCAATAGATTGTCAACTCACTATTATACGAACATAGGTTATCTTTCTCACACTTAAAAATCTTCACACCGGAAATAATAACACAATAACCTCCCTTGTTTTCCTATTCCCCACCATGGAATAGTTATCTTCAAACGTTTGAATTTGAAGTTGAAAATGATATTTTTGCCAATTTCTCAACTGGCAATAGTGAATTATAGGATTAATAGGATTATTCTTTGACAAGGTAGGACTGTTTATAGATACCATCTATTTTAGGGCTTTATTTTAATACGTTTTTAAAAATATAACTTACAATTATGAAATTGTAACTTTAATAAGCAGTTGTATTCCATATACGATGCATGTATAATATTGTGACATCCAGTTCAATTACTAAATGCCATTAAAACAATTTAGTTTGTGAGATGTGAGGCTGATGTTTACAAATAACTTGTAAATGATTCGTATTGTTTACATACACATAGAACTATAAAACACCAACATTGATCAGTTATTTAATGTTGGTAATATACACTGTATAGAGATGCTATAAATATCAATAAATCATGCTTGGAATGTATAATTATCTACCTGTATAAATCAGTGCTATCAAGCCTGGAAAAAAAAGCATATGTCATAGACTTGGTTAAGAGAGAGAGAGATAAATGGGGTTTAACATCCACACGACACAAACTAGGTCATTTCGGGACTAACATATGGTTTAATTTTATTTCAATAATTCGCTTGCGCGTAGGGGTCTTTAGCAGTGGGAGGACCCAGAGAAAACGCACGAGGTTGGACAGGCGACCCTACTCCTTGTCACGTACAGCCGGGGAATCGAAACCACGCCAGTTGACTCAATGACAGGCCGTATGATACAGCATGCACGTGCTAACCATTCGGCCACCCAACCCCCCATAGACTTAGTTAAGCACAGATTCAGACTTTGACTTTGTCAGGTACAGTTCCCCTACTAGTGTTTGTCATATCTGCTACATGTACATACGTAACCAAAGTCTTAGGAGGGGTGGGGGGGGTGACTGAATGGTTAACTCTAGCGTATTGGGATCAGGGGGTCTGTCATTTAGTCAAGTGGCATGGTTTCGATTCCTACAGATTATCAATATCACACAGGGGTTGGATGGCCGAATTGTAAGCAAGCGCTCGCTGTATCGTACGGTCTGTCATTGAGTCAACTGATGTGGTTTCGATTCCCCGGTTGTACGTGATAAGGATTAGGGTCACCTTTCCAACCTTGTGGGTTTTCTCTGGATCCTCCGGTTTCCTCCCACTGCTAAAGACCCCTACGCGCAGCCGAATTATTGAAATAAATTGAACCATGTTAGTCCCGAAATGATCTAGTTTTATGTTAAGTGGACATTTACCCCCCTCTCTCTCTTCCCCCCCCCCCTCTCCAACCCCCATCCCCGCTACATACATGTACATAGTTGTGTTATTTCTTTGTTTTGGTAGTGCCAGACATTTTGTCAGCAATTACATTATGTATGAATTGTCCCAAGACGGATGTCCGAAGTACTTCAAAATGTTATTAAATCAGTGTTGAAATCAGTTAGTGTCGACATACCTTTTATCTTTTCATCGTTTTATGGTGAAACAAAGTAGTGCAGCTTTACGGTTGTGTTAATTACACATAGGCGTACGGGGAAATTTTTGACTGGGGGGGGGGGGGGGCGGTGGTGGTTGGTGCCCAAAAAATGTTGTTAGGTTCTTAGTATGTTACATAATAATAATAAATTCGCTGTTAAATTGGACACATTCAAGAACACAATTTCTTTTTTTTATACAACTTTTACAAAATACAATTGTGTGCCCAAATTTTCCCAGCATTTGGTGCCCAAAATGGAGGGGCGGCCGCCCAGCTCGTACACCTATGTAATTACATGTACATTATACACCTAAAATTTGTATTGCCAGACATGAGTGGTGGGTATTATGTCTGTACTGAGAATATGATACATGTACATATTTCGATTTGGGTGCTACAGTGCAATTCTTATCTTGATTCATAATCGAGTCACAGTGTCTACCAATGTATAACCAGGCATTTGAACATAATGCTTGGACGACATATTTTTCCTGTATTATGTATATTCTGTTATAATAAAATGACAAGAATTATTTATTTTATGAATACAGGAAAAATATGTCGTCCAAGCATTATGTTCAAATGCTTGGTTATACTTGTCAATAACCAAGTGTTAATTGAATTTGGATATTTTGTACACATACATGTAGGACTCAATCTGTTTAAAATACAGATCTGTATTTTGTACACATACATGTAGGACTACATGTAATGCATATTCCTGAAGCAATGGTCCGAAAAATCCCTCTCTGTCCATTGCTGGATTGGCTTCTGATACTTGAGCTTTTGAGGGAGTGTGTGTATTCTTCCCCTTCAATCAAATCTATCCCAAGTACAGTAACATGACAGCCCTTCATTTAATCTGGGGTCTTCCCTAAAACTTTGGACAGTGATTTAAGGTATTGAAAACGGTGAAAGTATTCTTCGTCTCCATACAGTATTGTTTACATTGTATTTGTGTTGATAGCCTCGTTTGTCACATAATTAGTTTTTCTGGAATATTCTGCACTGGTTAATACTATAGGGCATAATAAAATCGTGAGTCATGACGTAAACGTTACGTAAACATATTTGTTCTAATTTGGAGCTTTGTTTAAAATGTAACGATATTGTTACGCAGTTAGCTATTGGTTGTTATTTGGACTATTGACCAGTCATAATTTTGAACAGAAATTTGCTTCCATTAAAGCAGTGTTTTGTGGGATTAGCTCTAATCAAACGAAACCCTGCGAGGAGTATGTATGTATATGTTGTTATCAAGTTCTTTTATTTATTAATTTCAGATCTGCTTACGATAATGACACTAAAACCAAAGTTGCTATCAAAAAGATATCACCGTTTGAACACCAAACATACTGCCAAAGAACATTACGGGAAATAAAAATCTTAACCAGATTCAAGCATGAAAATGTAAGTCTCATAAAGATATTAATCAATTATCATAAGTCCCATAGATATATTAATCAAATATCATAAGTCCCATAGATATATCAGTCAATTATCATAAGTCTCTTAACAGTCAATTATCGTAAGTCCCATAGATACAAACCTTTAACATTGAAGTGACGTAAATTGGTCTGGGTAACCTATTTACGGCAAATATACAAATTTAAAGACCGTAGAATTGTAAAAGGAATAGACCTACACAACTTATATAAATAAACAAAATACCAATACTTCTTTCTTTAAACTAATTTGGGATGTATTTGCCGTTTGCCGTGATAAATTTCGAGCGCTGAGTTTGTGTACAGAGAAGGACGAAGGGGTTTAAATACGACTGGGTGGCTTTCTTCGATTTTTTTCTTTGTGCTTGGCGGCAAAAAATACTGACAGGCGCAAGCACCCGGAGCCGCCAGGCGTGGCTACATCCCTGATAAATTTGCTTCAAATCCTTCTCAAAACTTTGTAATTGTCAAGGAATACCCTTGCTATAAAAAATCGATCAAAAGAGGTCACATTTGTGTAACTTGACTTAGGGGTGCGAAGTCAGAGGAGAATTCATTGCATACACAAGTCGATGTTGTCTTTAATCGCTTACTATCTATTACAAATATCGAATCCTAATTAAATTCTCGGATTATCCACTGCCCACGTCTTTTTCCGTGATTTTTATCTCAAAGTGTTGTACGTCTAACTTTTCATAAAGTTTATCAAGCGCTCAATCTCCGCGTGCAATCTTTGACATCATACGTGCAGATATTCCTAATCGTCAGGCTTTTGATTGGGGGAACCCTGACATTTTTGTCCTGTATACGCTCTATGGGTGTTTTTCAAGGAATCCATTCTTTTTTTCTAGTAAGATTGGATATCTCTACTTTCCATATACATGTACATGTATATACCAAAATTGCCGTACTTTTATTGGAAATAACCACCCGATAAATACTTTTCTGGGAATCTATCTTTAATATATCAGTCAATTATTGTAAGTTCCATAGATATAGCAGCTTACCATCATTATACTGTGATGTCGAGAGTTTTATCATTTCATGCGAATAGCATGTGAATAATGACTTAAGAATATTTGAATAGCATGTGAATAATGACTTAAGAATATTCGAACTGCATATGAATAATGACTAAGAGTATTCAAATAGCAGGTGCATAGTGAATATTCAAATAGTAAGTGAATAAGGACCTAAGAATATTCGAATAGTAAGTCAATATTGACAAATAATATTCAAATAACATGTGAATAATGACTTAGAATATTCAAATAGCATGTGAATTATGACTAGGACTTCAAATTACATGTGCAGAATGACTTAAACTATTCAATACATTCAGTAGCATGGGAATAATGATTTAAGAATATTCGGAGAGTAATTAAATATGACTGTGAATATTCAATTTGTAAAATTAGCTGGAAACGTAATGAAATTCACTTGTCCATCAATTTTACTTCCTTGTGCAATATATTATTTAAATCACATATATATATTGTCGTTGCCTGGCAACGTGATTTGATGTTTTTGTGTTTTTATCTTACAGATTATAGATATTCGTGATATATTAAGAGCTAAATCAGTTGACAGAATGAAAGATGTGTATCCTTTATCTAAAATAATTATTGTGATTTGTCCATCTGCTTAATTTATAGATGTCATACAGTCTCCGCAGATCTTTACATATTTGTCAGAACAGTACTCCAACAGTCAGGACTTGAAATTCTGGGCCCTGTTTCTCGAAATCTTAGCTAAAGATAAAATCCAAATTTTAGTAGATACTTCAATTATGATTGGCTAAGTACTAAAATCAATCTAATATTATCCAATCAAATTACTAAAATTTGGATTTTATCTTAGTTAAAATTTCGTGAAACAGGTCCCTGATCAGATGAGTTGTATCTGACAACTGTGTCAGATACTAACACTGTAACCTGGGTAGCATTTAATCTTGTGTATCTAGCACTTATTTCTTTCACATTCGTTTAATATCAAATATTTGTTTTATATTCGTAAAAATCGTTTAAAATCTACATGATAATACAATTTAACCTAACATTTTCATGAACTCACGTGATATTACAATTCAACCTAACATTTTTACAAACCCAAAACAGTCTACTTGATATTTGTAGCACCTAACATTTTCATGAACTCAAAACTGTTGACATGTGCATGATATTAGTTTATTACAGTGTGCATAATATACAATACAATTTAACCTGATATTTTGAGGGCTTGGATGGCCGAATGGTTAGCACATGCGCCTTGTATCATAAAGCCTGTCATTGAGTCAACTAGCATGGTTTCGAATCCCTGGTTGTACGTGACAAGGAGTAGTGTCGCCTGTCCAACCTTGTGGGTTTTCTCCGGGTCCACTGGTTTCCTCCCACTGCTAAAGACCCCTACGCGCAAGCAAATTATTGAAAAAAAATTAAACCATATGTTAGTCCCAAAATGACCTAGTTTTTGTTGAGTGGACATTAAACCCCATTTCTCTCTCTCTTCCCCCTAATATTTTGACAAATTCAAAACTATTGACATGTGGATGATATTGATTCATGTGGACGTATATTGTCGTTGCCCCTGGATGTCTGTCCACAATTTGTTTGTGGACACTCTACACGTCACAATTTTTATCCGATTTTGACAAAACTTGAAATATAGGACTATCTCCCAAAGATCTCCCAAAGATTGGCATGTATTGGACCATAACTTAATGGATTTTGGCCCCTGATTGTAAGAAAAATTGCGTTTCTAGCTTGTGGATACTCTAGAGGTCACAATTTTTATCCGATTTTGATGAAACTTGATATGCATCCATTCGATATTCGCGCATATCGCATCGTGACTTCCTGAATTATGGCCCCTTATTGTACGAAAAATGGTGTTTTTAGCTTGCGGTCCCCCTGGAGGTGACAATGTTTATCCGAATTAAAAAAACGTTTTAGTAAATCACCATTACACCCTAATGATGGTTGAGTTAGAATTTTGTGAAAATCGGACCAAAACTGCCGGACAAAATGGCTGCCCCTTATACGCAAATAGTGTAAAAATATGGTATATCAAGGTTGTGGACCTCTAGAGACACAGTTTTTATCCGATTTGGATGAAACTATAAATATATATTTTTATTGTAAAGATCTTGGTTCCTTTTGATAATCACACATATCCGAACGTAACTTCCTGGATTATGGCAGGGGGGTTGGATGGCTGAATGGTTAGCGTGCGCGCGCTGTATCATAAAGTCTGTCATTGAGTCGACTGGCGTGGTTTCGAATCCCCGGTTGTACGTGACAAGGAGTAGGGTCGCCTGTCCAACCTCGTGGGTTTTCTCCGGGTCCTCCGGTTTCCTCCCACTGCTAAAGACCCCTACGCGCAAGCGAATTATTGAAATAAAATTAAACCATATGTTAGTCCCGAAATGACCTAGTTTGTGTCGAGTGGACGTTAAACCCCATTTCTCTCTCTCTCTCTCTCTCTGGATTATGGCCCCTGATTGGTTGAAAAATCGCATTTTTAGCTTGTGGAATCTCTCGAGGTCACAATTTTTTTTCCAATTTTAAAAACCGTTTAGATATATCACCATTCCACCATAATGAAGGTTGAATTGGAATATTTGCACATTTCAGACCATAACTTTCTGGATCTTGGCCCTGGATTGTACAAAAAATTGTTTTTGTTTTTAGCTTCTTCTTTATTCATCTCTTGTTATATGTGGGTGTATCCTGCCTGGCAGCCACTGGGTGTTGATATATATACATGTTCCTTTACCTAGTTATATTGTCTTTATTAACCTAACTGTCTTTTATTGATGTATTGATTTAATTCTGACTGTTGGTTACGTTGTGATGTATTGATTTAAGTCTGACTGTTGGTTACGTTGACTTTATTGTCTTTTATTGACTTAATTGCCTTTTATTGACCCTAATTGCCCTTTATTGACTTAATTGAAATGACATAATTATATTGTCTTTAATATTGATAACTATGTAAATTTATGGTTTTCACAGTCACCTTGCTATAAATTACAGTATATAGCTAACTAAGGATATTCCTTTTACAATAAACTTCATTATTGTATTGCAATAAATCACCATTAACAAGCCTGGAAATAAGGCACCTGTCAAAGACAATGTCGGGCACAGATTCCGGCTTTATCAGGCACAATAACCTTGCTATAGATTATTGTATTGTAATAAATCAGTGGAGCCACGGTGGCGAAGTGCAAGTTATGCACAAAATATGATATGAATACAAAAAAAAAAAATTTTTTTTTCAAAATAATAACTGCAAATATTTGATAACTATATAGTTAAATGGACTTTATGGCAAATAAAAAGTTAACTTTTACATTAGATTAATATTGAATATTCATGATAGATTTTAACTGCACATCAAATGACCAAAACTGCTATTCAAAAGTTGATTTGATTAGCAAAAATTTATTAAAACTATTTCAAAGCCACTATCCAAAAAATAACATTTCTTTAAAAAAACTGGAGGATGATACACGCAGCATCCCAATTAGATCTTCAACTATCGATAATTTGATAGACATTGCAACGGATGATTCTTCTACAGGAGAGTCGGCGATAAATCTCAAGGCTGAGGGTCAAGGTCGTCTTGGTTCTTCGAAGCAAAATGATGTTTCTTTTCCTACTAATTCTAATAAAACAGCTGCGGTGCGCAAATGGCTACGAGAAAATCTTGCAAAGTATGTTCTTTTGAAGAACAAATGAGTCTTGTAACTTCGTTAAAATGTGAAATTTGTGTTAATTACTGTAATAAAACAAAAACAATGTGTGACTTCTCTATGGCATGGATAAGGCCCAAAAGAGCATTTGGGACACAGGGGTTGGATGGCCGAATGGTTAGCACGTGCAAGTTGTATCATAAGGTCTGTCATTGAGTCAACTGGCGTGGTTTCGTATCCACAGTTATACGTGACAAGTAGGGTCGCCTGTCCAACCTCGTGGGTCTTCTCCGGGTCCTCTGGTTTCCTCCCACTGCCAAAGACCCTACGTGCAAATGAATGATTGGAATAGGATTGGACCATGTGTTTATCGTGAAATGACCTAGTTTGTGTCAAGTGGACGTTAAACTCGATTTCTCTTTTTCTCTCTACCACCTGTGAACTAAGTATAGATAAGCAGTTTGATGGCTTGATGCTTTACAAAAAACATAATTGTGCAACTAATTTATATGCATCATCCATGCGTTTTAGGAATGCCATGGGGAATATCGGCCTCACTGTAAGCTTGTTTGGGTTTCGATTCCTTGGTTGTACATGACAAGGAGTAGGGTCGCCTTTCCAACCACGTGGGTTTTCTCCGGGTCTTCCGGTTTCCTCCCACTGCTAAAGACCCCATACGCGCAAGCGATAAATTGAAATAACATTGAACCATGTGTTAGTCCCGAAATGACCTAGTTTGTGTCGAGTGGACGTTAAACCCCATTTTCTCTCTCTCTCTCTGTCTGTAAGCTTGTTTACTTAGAAATAATTGTTTGGCCTTGCTGTGATTTATTGATTAATGAAAGACCTTGTCATTGTTTATGTCTGTGTATTCTCGTATTATTGTGGAAAAGTAGTTACTGTAAGAGTAGTAATTAAGAATCTTGAAATCCGTTTAAATCTCTGCCATAATATGTATGGTCTAGAGAGGTAGGGGATCACGGTGGCTAAGTGGGTAAGACGCTGGCTGGCTAGCTGGCCTGGAGGTCGGGTGTTCGATCCCTGCATTGGCAGAGAAAGTTCATCCAGATTTTCCAGGGTGGTTCCCCCCTGTCAGTGATGCAGGACTGAGGGCCTGACAAGACAGTTGTCTACGAAAAACCGAGGTCCCGTGTACATAAAAGATCCCTTGACAGTTGGAATTCGGGTAGGCCGAGGTGCCGCTGTCGGGGTAAAATTTCCCTATTAGCACACTGTATGGCGTATGCCCATCTTTAGCCCAGTTCGGAGCAGAACCGTAGGACATTAGACCCCATATCATTTCATTTCATTTCTAGAGAGTTAATTATAGGCTTGAAAAGTATTTAATGTAAAACTGTTAGGGTTTTTAAGTTTGCCAAGCATTCTGTAATGGAACGAAATGAATGGCCTCGCAGGAAAATATTGTTGCAAGAGAAATTGTAAGATTTAAGATTTTATCACCAGAATTATATTTTGATTGCAATTGGCAATCGAAAGTGTGATCAAGATTGACTGACATCACTTAAGAATCCTGTGACAGTTGGAAAACAAAACAAAAGTAAGTCACAGCCTGGAAATAAGGCACCTGTCACAGACAATGTCAGGCACAGATTCAGGCTTTGTCAGGCACTAAACCTCTGGTGCCTGTCATTTTGTCCTGCACTGATTTGTCTTTTTTATTGACATTATTAATACATGTCTGGCACTAAGTTGAAAATGTAAGGTACTATTTCATTAGTGCCTGACATTTTGTCAGGTACATATAAAACCGTTATTTCCAGGCCTGAGTAAGCCACAGCGTCGCTATCAGGACAAACTTTCCCTCATAGCATTAGCACACTGCACGTTTAAAGACCATCTTGATGCTGGTAAAGAATAATTTGACGTTAAACTCCATTTCAGTGCA